GCCGAAAACTTAAAAAAATAAATAAAAAATAAAATTTAAAAAAAAAAGTTCATTGGATTAGACAAAGGGGAATGAGGGAGTGGGGATGGGAATAGGAAAGACAGTAGAATGAATCAGACAACTTTCCAGTGTTCAGCTATGAATACACAACCAGTGGAACTACACATCGTGTACAACCTCAAGAATGGGAACTTCATGTATATATGTCAAAACACATTCTACTGACATGTGTATCTAAAAGAACAAAAATTTTTAATTGTATGTGGACACTGTATCTTTATTTATTTTTTATGTGGTGCTGAGGATCAAATCCAGTGCCTCACATGTGCAAGGCAAGCGCTTTGCCACTGAGCTACAGCCCCAGCCCCTAAAAAGAACAAATTTTAAAAAGTCATATTAGGGCTGGGGCTGGGGCTCAGGGGTAGAGCACTTGCCTAGCACATGTGAGGCACTGGGTTCAATCCTCAGCACACAATAAAATAGGTTCATTGTGTGAAAATACTGCTGACAAAGCTAAATTGAGGGTAGTGGGGCTCAGGGGTAGAGCACTTGCCTAGTGAGGCACTGGGTTCAATCCTCAGCACACAATAAAATAGGGGTAAGGTGTCCATCTACAACTAAAAAAAAAAAAAAAAAAATTTCACATATTAAAAGAGCAGCCTGAGAACCCCTAGAGAGTCTCTTGAATTTCTCTTGAATGTGTGTTCCCTGCTTTCCTAGATAAATCTCTGTTGCTTCTACTGACACATGCTGAAAGTAATTTCCATTGTGTATGTTAAGAAACCCTTCTCCTGAGTTGAGATCCCCCTTCTGCAGTTCCTTTGGACCCTCTTCTGGTGGTATCTCTTCTCTACTGACAAACACGTGAGAACGCTTGTTTCTGTTTTGTTTTGGGGGGTTTTGGGAATTGAACTCAGGGGCACTCAACCACGGAGCCACATCCCCGCTCTATTTTGTATTTTATCTAGAGACAGCGTCTCACTGAGTTGCTTAACACCTCACTTTTGCTGAGGCTGGCTGAGAACACTTATTTTTGAAAATGAAGTGCCTGATTCTAAAATAAGCACATAAAGCCAAGTAAAAGCTTTACATTTATTGAAATTTATCACTTAACACCTCTTCTTTTTTTTTCCTTTTGGTATTGGAGATTGAACTGAGGGGATTTTAACCACTAAACCATTTCCCCAGTCCTTTTTATTTTTATTTTGAGACAGGGTGTCTCAGTAAAGGGCCTAAATTGCTAACACTTGCCTTGAATTTCCCCCCCACACACACAGGGGAGTACCATCGATTGAACCCAGGGCACTTAACAACTGAGCTACAGCCCTTTTTTATATTTTATTTAGAAACAAACAGTCTTGCTGAGTTGCTTAGGGCCACACTAAAATTGCTGAGGCTGGCTTTGAACTTGTGATCCTCCTGTTCAGCTTCCTGAGCTGCTGGGATTACAAGTATGTATTACCATGCCTAGCAATATTATCATTTTGATACCTGAGATTGAACCCAGGGGCTCTTTACCACTGAGCTACATCTCCAGTCCTTTTTTAAATTTTTAATTTTTTTTTAATATTTATTTTTTAGGGTTTTTTAGGTGAACACAATATCTTTATTTTTTATTTTTATGTGGTATTGAGGATTGAACCCAGTGCCCCATGCACGCCAGGCGAGCGTGCTACCGCTTGAGCCACATCCCCATCCTTAATTTTTTTTAATTTTGAGAGAGGTTCAAAATTGCCCAGGTTGTCCTTCAATTTGCAGTTCTCCTGTATCAGCCTCCCAAGTCACCATGATCACCATACCTGGCTGACTTTACTATTGTTTTGAGGTAGAATATCAGCTCTTTAAAGGAATTATTAAAGCACAACTTGTACAGTATTCAAATTGCAAGGCCTTTGAACTCCCCCTCATCTCTGTAATATTCTTTCCCTATTGAATTTTTATAAACGTGCCCAAATAACTGTCAGATAAACCAAGATACAGTGTATCGTCAACGTCCAGCTACCCAACAGGCTTCCTCTTAGCTGATCAGCCTCTATGGACACCACCAAGCAACCACTATTCTGACTTTATCACTGTAGGTTAGTTATCTTTTCAACTTTATATGAATGGAATTATATATTATTCACCCGTGAATTTAACAACTTTTTTTTTTTTTTTTTTTTT